TTTTATCATGCTTGTTGATAAAATGTCTCCCGCTCTGTAGATCTGAGTGCATCAACAAGTTTGCCTCAGTTTTCGGGACGATGCCTCTGAAAGTGGTGGAACATCGCGCAGACCCGGTGCTCTATAAAGATGACTTCCCAGAGAAGCTGAAGAGCTTCCCCAACATCGGCAGCCTCTGACCAGCCAGCAGAGGATGTTTGGACCCCATCACAGCCTCAGCACTCAAACACGCATAACCAACACTGTTTTCTGACTGAAACGGGATGTGCTCATGTCCCCTCTCAGTTAAAGCGATTTTTGTTTTTACCTTGAATTTAATGACATCATTTTAAATCAGAGTTAAACCAAAATCTGAGGTGGCTGTGAAGTAGTCTGACGTTTGACGGACAAGGCCGACTGACTCCAGGTTTTTGGTCCCTCACTGTTACCGTTTTGGAGCTGGTTGCTTTGGGCTCCAGCTACTCTCGATTCAGTGTATACAGTGTATATATTTGTATTTTGCAGCAGTGCTGTATAATTTATGATTCTCCAACACAAACTTTCTCTTCTATGTTTTTCCTTCTTTCCAAAACGCTGACATCGGACATTATTCTTAAAACTGTACAACACAGAAAGAGTAATAAATGTTAAAGTTAACACGATAAATATCAAAACGATTCAAGGACACATCCGTGTACACTTTATTCATGATGTACAGTGCTTTAATAAGCAGTCAGAGCGGACCTTGGGAAAAAGCTGGCACCGTAAATCTAAGATTTAGAGTGAGTAGGCGATTTGGAAAAAGGCATGTCGAGCTACTGGAGCATTTCACTGCAACTGTAATTTTATACCGCCTGAGCGAGCCTTTCTTTGTATTTATGCGTAGAAATGTAAGAAAACTGTGATGCTTATTAAAGCATCTACTAAGTCAGTTCATGAATTGTCTATGAACACTACATTAGAATAGAAGACTGGTTGACAAATCCACATTTTTCAAAACAGACATAAACGGTTTGTTTGTTTTTCCTGTTTTGTTTTTTTTAATCGAACCTATTGTGTATGTTTCACTTTTTGACCTTTTTTGTCACTAATTTCTCCAGTTACATCATTAAGGCAGCAAATCGGAGAGCAGTGCGGTCTTTTAAGATGGTTTTGTTTGTTTGTTTTAAATTTCCCTTTCCCGTTTTCATATTTTTTCGACTGGGGTTTATGCATTTAACTGTATATATGTGACTTTGTAATACAAGTAAAACCCTGCACAACCATGTACCACAGTTTTTTTTTCTTTTTTTTTTTCCTCGATGTTCAAGAGAGGTGGGAAAGAAGATGAGGAAAGACACTTTCCTCTTTAACGTCTGCCTCGCGCTGTAATCTGTGACTGTCCAGATCAGCCCCTCCGTGACACGGCCGATCCACTGTTCCCTCCAGGCTGTCACCTGTTGTTAATATAGCTGCCTAATCCACCCTGTTCAATGTCAGCGGTTCAAAAGGGTGCAGTTCGTATTTTTGTCAGCTTCAATTAGTGTGATAGTCTTGTGGGTTGCGCGATCTCATTTCAGCACTTTTGTCCCTTCAAAGGACCTGAAACGCACGGGGATTTCACAATGTGACTACAGGGATGACACAATATTTTGGCACGGTGGTGCGAAGTAATAAGACGGAGCAAATTTTATGGGTTTTCTCAACAGCCTCAGACACTTCTCTGGCCAACCAGCGCCTTTAGCTGACATCTTGAAAGACTTCTCTTGAGACTCGGAGTGACTTGAGCGATCTTCGAGTGCTAATAGGAGGATGGTTTTCTTCTGTACCGCGGCTGCAGTCGTTTGAGTTTTCTGGAAGTCTCGGTCTGCTGAGAAGCTGCAGGGAGCAGTTACTGTTTTGCTGCTTCCACCTTATTAAGGCTGTTACGCATTTCAGAACACAGCGACTCTAAATCAAAGTACAATAACTTATGGTATTTTAATCACACAAGCATGAGTAAATTCATACTCTCATTTCCAAAGACAGCGTAAAGCCACACAAACTTGGTAGGAGGGGGAAATTAAAGAATAACATGATGAGAAAACAATGTCCACAAACACTAGCAATACAAACAGATCATCACCAAGTTTAAGAGAAGTTTTACACTCAAATATTTATAAATTGTCCCACAAAATAAAACGGCATCAAATTAGTAAAATGTTTACGAGTCTTATGACACTTCAAGCTGCACGCACAACACTGTACATGCACACAACAGCACGCATTTATCATATATTTACTCCTATACTGATTACCTGACTTCAGTAGTATTAGAAAAATGAGAAAGGGGGACGTTATCACTCAAGGCTGGAGTTGTGCAGCATACAAGAGAGATTTTTTTTTTTAAATATAAAGCTGAATCTTGCATTAACAGGCTTTGTGTAAGTGTAGGAAATGACTCAAAGGGGTAAAAACTGTCCGTCTTTGGTTTCCATATGTTAAAGACCTCACTGGAGATTCTCATGAATGCACAGAAAACGGTAAACCTGAGCGTCTCATTGCCAGTATGTCTGCATCCAGCTAGACCAACTAGAAGACAGACAGTCCTGTCCATCCTGACACACAATACTGCAGTCCATAGCCTCCACATGGCTCAGTGTTAATTAAAAAGCCTTCCTCAGTTGCCTGTGTGGCTGTGCCTCAGACCCTGCGATGAGGGGCTGCGGCTTGGGGCTGGTGGACATAGTGGGAGTGAGCGAAGGGAGAGGCGCAGTGCAATGTGTGTGATTGGGGAGGGGGGAGTAGATCTTTGAAAGCAGAGCCATGACAGCTGAGGGGGAAGCATGTGTGAGGCATGTTTGTTTTGCATTTACCCCCTGAGCGCAGCTGTGTGCACTGTCCTTTTCCCAGAACACCGGAACACAGCAGACGCCCTCACAGCTCGCCCTCCGTCCAACCCCTAGGCTAGAGCACAGGGGGCCCCATGTTCAGATTCGCAAGGATACCCTCTCACTTCTGGGATATGTCCTCTGTGCATGCACATGCCTCGCATTTGCACAGAGGAGTGAAACTGGAGGTGATTTGGACAACTTGAGGGCGATCTGCTCTGCTGACAGGTTGTAGCCCGCACCTCACCTCTCTTACCTACCTACCCAGGAAAAGAGGGAATGTGGTTTAGTTTAGGGAATTAGCAATGGTTGCTCTGCCTCGAGGTGGTACCACAAGGTATCGGGTTTGCTTTCTGAGACCATGAAACCCTTTGTTATGCTTCAGGCCTAAATCAGGCTTTGCAAACAAAGGAAGCCATGTATTACCTCATCTTGCTGCACTTGAAAAGCTCATTGGCTATTTCTGTCACTGCAAGATGCTGTTACCAGGGAAAAATGGAAGTTTGCTTTTTAAATATGCTTAAAAATTTGAATGATATCCCAGGCAAGGTATGAGGTATCTGGCTGGGTCAACCTCTATCTTACACTTCTTTTCGTGGGGGCAAAGGACACAGACACAGGGAATAGTGCTTAAGTCCTGATAGAAGTAAACTAAACGAAAGCAGAGGGAAGACATGGACCTGTCATGTTGGTATCTGACGGGGGAAAAAACGTTTATAAATATGGTCAAAAACGGATGAAGCTAGGACCAAAGTTTTGTAGCTTTAATCCTCATCTCCATGCCACAACTTTGTGATGGACACAATTATCCTGCCTTGTTCTGCTGTAGAGAACTTTCAGCCAGTTTTAACCTCATTCCCATCAGTCACCTCGCTGTAGATGGCAGACTGATCATCGAAGCACCTGTGGATTTTCTGCCATTTAGTTTGTTTTATGCTACAGCGTCAAATAATTAAGGTGAACTGGATCCGAGAGAGAGACCCGAGCTTACTCAGTACTACAGAACCCAGCTGATGTACACACTTTAGTGGGGCATCAACCCAAACACATTTGGAGTTAAGCTGAGGGCTCACACAGAATCAATTTGAGAGTTTTTGTTGTCCTAGGTCACGGCCCATTGCAACCGAGTGCAAAGGAGACCCTGATTTTACTTCAGCTTTAACACATTCTGGTCCAAATACACTTGAATCTTCATGTATGCACGAGGAACACAGGGCCAAAACCTTAAACAGAACCACAGAGGTCACTATGGCATTAATCAGGGTGATGGAGTACTTTGAAAGATCTGATGATGGTAAAAAAAAAGAAGAGGAAGAGTAACAATGACATGTATGGCAGCGCTGTACTGAAAGCCAAATGCAGGCTTGTTCAAGTCCAGAAAAGGCTGCTAAATACTGACATCCATTCAGTGCTTAAGAGCGTCAACACACGGTGTTATCCCCAGTAGCCCGCTCTGTTTCAAAAGAGGCTTCTGCTGGTTCCTGTGTTATTTCTGGCAGTCTGGCTTGACTGGTAGGCACTTCTCTTTCTGAGACCTGTGAGACTAGAAATGCAAGGGGCACAGTTATGTCCACTTGGAGTCTTTCTCCTGAAAACAGAGCTGCATCTGTTTGGAGGCTGGCGCTCCCAGGCTCTTCAACCCTGAGAGCAGCAGGCCTGCTGTGCCCCTCTCGTACTCCCATACACCATTTCCTCCTCCTCTCTGGGCATCAGCAGGCTGGGTTAGTGCAGCAGGTGGATCTTTTACCCTTGGCCATACTCAAGAGAACCACTTTTCATCTGTTTTACTTTGTAATGTTAGAGGGAAGAGCCCTGTCTACGTTTTCAGTCACTGGAAAACATACCCAGATTTGGTTACTGTGACGCTTGTATTGATGGTCATCTCAGCACCGGCATGACTTAAGTTAATGCTGACAAAGAGTAAATTGTATGGAGGTTTTTTAAAGGTTTTTTTTTTCCAGAATGCTTTTTAAACTAGCTGTGAAATCAAAACTTAAAATTAAATGACGCAAAAAAGGGAAAAAGGGGGACATTTTAAATAACAAGATCGGAATAAAAACAGCACCAAAACAAAGATACCAAAAGCTCTGTACAAATAGAAATTGTGTCTGTGTTAGCAAATAAGTGCATGGATGTTTCTTTTCTTTTTTTTTTCTTCTTTTTTTGGATTAATTGAACTTTTTCTAGCATCTTTTTTTTATATATATATATATATATATTTGCCTATCTTCAGCACTACACTGCAACTCCTGTTATACAGCACACCTTCACCTTCTCACTGGGCTTCCACAGCACTCACTGCTGTGCCACCAAAAACATGGCACTGCCGATTTTGCCAAATCTTTATCTCTCTTTTTTTTCCCCCACCTAATTTGATTGCAGCATTTTTGAAGGTAGCCACTGTTGCCTTGATTTTAGTGCCACCCCTTACTCCATTCTGGGATTGTTTAGACTTTTCAGGGGTCAACAAGGTCCCCCGTCATCCAGCATGTGTCAACACATCATGTGGCCCAAGATATGGCTGCACTGTGCTCTTTGGCTTTCATGCGCAAAGCGGCGATGCTGGAGGACTTGCGGTCGGGGTCCATGTTGAGATCGTAAGTGTTGATGCCTCCAGCCATGCCAGGAGATCCTCCAAACAGGCTGCCCATGTGAGCCTGCCCCACGTGACCTGCGGGACTCGGTACTCCCAGAAAATCAGACACCCCGCTGGCAGAGTGGGGGTGAGGTGTCATGCACGGAGTCACTGTGTCGCAGGGCACAACGCAGCCCGGCACAGGAGACGCAGCGCTGCTGCCGCCGATCCAGGAAGGGTTCTGGATCTGGAATATTGTTGGAAAATCAACATGAGTGAGGCAGTCACACACCTCATTATTTTGAATGCACGCTCAAAGAAAGCAAAGACTACATTGGCTGTTTAACCCACGAACACTTGTGTATACAATAGATTAGTGCAGGTGTATTTTTCATTTATCTGGCTCTCCTTATCTTTAAGTGCCAATTCCTGTAACCCAGCACAGTCCAATCTAAAGCCTTACATGCTTAAGGGATTTTGTAATTAGGGTACATATATTAGTTATTTGTGTCCTTGTTGAGGGTTAATGTTGGTAAACTGTGAACCTCCTGAAAAAATTAGACAAAAAACAGCATAGCATGTTAATCGGTACCCTACAGAGGTGCTTTCGTACAAAATGTGCTACATACTTTGCCCTTTTTCTTCTTAAAAATAATCTTACCATGAAGGAAAAAAGCCAAGTTTCTCAAAAATGTTCAACAACTCCTTGAAAAAGAGATTCTTTTTTTAACTGTTGCCACCTGCAGCAACTTTCCTGATGCAACGGAAGGCAATTAAAAGTTGATTTTATTGCAAGCGAATCATTCCCAGTCTGTAGCAGAAATTAGGATCATAGCAGTAAAGAAAAAAAAATCACCCCTGTCTACGTTTAGCTTTTGGTCGGGGGAGAGAGGTCTGAAAGAACACGTGTTAAAGAGCTCACACTGTACCTGAGCATAGTTTTCAGGATGAGTCAGGAGAGGCAGCTCGTATGCTGTGGAGAAGTGTGTTCGGACCTGCTGCATCTGGCCAAAGCGTTCCCTCTTTCGCCATTTCGCTCTCCTGTTCTGGAACCACACCTGCAGAGAAAGGAAAAGGTCCAAATATCACAAAAACCACCAGCAACACTTGAGGTTTTCTTTACTTTCATCCAGGACAGAGTGTGCAGTCAGAGGAGCCTGAACTCTTAACAGCAGCTTTCCCCTCAAATCTAAAGGAAATACTTTTCTATAGATACAAATCCAAGTTTCCATTTCAAATGGGAAAACGACCCCTATGTGGGTAGACTGCCAATGGCTGAAAGTATTATTTGAAGCATATCAAAAATTCAAACTTAGGTGTAAACTTGCAGCAGAAAGGAATTATTATTTTTAGTTTTAATTGTAATAACAATGAACAAAATCCTATAGATGATAAAGACAACAATGACGATAAAACATGTAAACAATGTGCTGCTGCCTTCACAGAGCTCCGTCTCACCTTAGTGCTTATATGCTGACCGCCAAAAACAGACGTCTGAACCCGATGGCGTTGTTTATCGAGAGCATTAGTTTGTTTAAATTATCATCACTGTCTCTGGCACGCTTTAGAGGTCACCTGATTTCCTTTGCAACTCTCAGCTACCAGCCTGGACTGATTATATTTTAAATTCGGCACCAAAAAGTTACCTTCCGATGGGATTTCTCACATTTTGTGCCCAGATATTTTACTATAAATCTATGCAGGCAATAAAGGACATTGAAAGGTGAGATGGGATTATAAGTTGAGGTTTGTTTGCATTTTGCTTTTTAATTTCCTGAAGCCAAAACTCCTGGCTTTCTGACGCTGTCCCCTACTAAATTAAAGAAGCACACAGACCAAAGGGCATAATCCTTCTTTCCCTTATGTTTTAATGCATCCTCTTCTACACTGTCCAACTCAGGATGCTCAACTCCAGGCAAGCTCACGCTGGCGCTTTTGGACTAATATCGATAATTATACTCCAAAAATGTTTGTGTGCTACCTCTAAGGCCCAGTATAAGTGTCGCCAGCAGCTCGAACCTGCTCAGTCTTTGCTTCATGCCAAGTCTGTTGGCTATTATACAGCGAGAACATATTTTTGCGTTGCACACGCTGCTTTGTGACAGTAATTGGTAAAGACCTTGACAGCTTAAGTAGCTGGTGGACTTTCAATGAGGCTTTATTTATGTTACTGCCCCAGAGAGAAAGAGCAGAGAAATACCAAACTGGCCCCGGCAGGAGAGCTGTATGGGGCTGAAAACACTTTGAAGTGAGAGACCGGCTCAGAGGATTGATAACCCGCCTCTGCTGTCACTCATGTCAGCTTCCAAGCCAAAGTAAAAAGAAATCCAAGGCTGAGCCTGGCTTCGGTTTTCCAACACTCTTAAGTGCCAATAATATCGCTGAAGCGCCTCTGAGCGGTGTTGTTGTTCATTAAATGTGAGTTTGTTCTCGTTTCTCCTCCTCCCACCACATAATGTCTTATTTCCTGTGTCAATTAAAGGTAAGATGAGGACAAGCAGTGGACACAACACCCAAAGAAATGTAGAACTGAACTGGGAATGTAATGCATGCTGGAAAAGACTGCTGCAGCCTTGTTTTGTAATAGGCCATGATCAAAAGCAACACAGGATTTGCTAACACCATTAATATTATTTATATTAAAGGTATTAATAACTAACATTATATTTTCAGCTGCCAGTTTAACATGCAGTTAAACACAGCGTTACCTTTAATCATTTGCCTGAAATGTAAAAAGTGTAAAACATAATGATAAAGGTGGGTGACAGCTATAGCCGTCATACCTGCCAACTAAAGTTGACCCTCACTGCCCTCGTTGGATCTGGTTTAAAGTTTGGGTCTTTTTGTTTTTATTTTATTTATTTTTTTACCAGGCAATGCTAAATCAAATTTCAAGCTATTATCTGAAAACTTGGACATAATAACTCGAGATTATATTTGAATAATTTTCTCAGAAGTTAGTAAGAAAGATTTTTGAGATCATTAACTCACATTTCTTTTGAGTGGCAGAAACAAGCTTCCATATGAAGGTGAAGCTTTATCCTGTTTCATTTCTATGTTGTAAACACTTTTGTGTTTCCTATTCTGTACCTCCCGCTAACTCAAAGGCTAACAGTCTTGGCAGGGATACTGTTGCAAGACCTGTTAAGTCTTAATGTTGTTAGGTCCTATTTTTATTTTTAAGTAAAGGTAAAGTAAACAATACTTAGAGGTTTTTAACCTGTCGCCATAAGGAACGCAGCTCAAATCACAGTATTAGTGTAAACATGATTTCTTTTTTTTTTTTTTTAAATGGCTTCATAGAAAAAATACATTTTTATCAGTGTTGTGAGTTAGAGATGGTGACTCCACACTAGATGCCATCTTGATTCTCAGAACCAACGATGCTATTGAAACCCTTGACCTTTGACCTTCCTATATTGTATATAAGAGCTGGGCTCACTCTCTTCCTTTGAAACCCCAAGACTGAAAAAGCAAACAACTCCGATCCCTGATGTTGTTTAACTGAAAGCCCCCTGTTTTCATGCAACGAACCTAAGTATGGACTCTCAGTGATTTTTGTCTTTTGTTTTTATAATTAAACAAAAGGTTTTTAAAAGCCGTCGTGGACTGTTTTTCTTTTATCAGCTGATCAACTTTTTTTTCTTCCCATTTTGGTTTTTTCATTCCAGATGTTGAAATGATGAGCTGTGAGGGCTTTTTTGTGCGTGTGTGTGGAGCACAGAGCCCCGTTCTCTGACTGACAAGGCATCTCGTGTCTTTTATCTTTTTTAACTTGAGCGTTTAAGAAGACCACTGGGAGAGCCGAGGGCTGTAAAAAGCTGCATTCATCTGAAGCGGGCAGGTCCGTGATAGCGCGAGCTGCAGAACAGAGCCGAGCAGCATACCTTGAGCGACTCGGGGTTGAGTTATAACCCTTTGGCTGCGTGGACTTCCTGCGTTTCGCTGTGGAAATTTGCTGGCCACCGCTCCATGTCGAAGATTGGTTTTAATCTAGCTCTTATCTCATCCCATGTATGACAGCCCCGCACATCAAAAACTATATCCATAATATTGTCTCCGTACATTGTTGGAAGACATCACATGCCTTCAAATAGATATGAATTCACATATAAATCTCCAGCTCACTAAAAGCCCACGGGAAAAGTTTCACACCTTACCCCCGGAGACAACAGCAGGGACACATTCTTGTCAGAAGAGGAACTTAATGAAAGAAAAACAGAGAAAATCCAGGGGCTTTTGTAGTCATACGCATACACCACACACAGACATGGCACAGAAACAGTGAAGGTTTCCTTCTCTGCCCATTAATGTTGGAATGTATCAAAGCAGTCATAACCGGGCCAGCGAGACATCTCAAGCTCAAAGCTAAAATCAGAAATTCAGCAAATTAAACCGTTTAGGTGCAAATGCGATGGGGGGAAAAATAGAAACAGCAGCGTCAAAGGGGTCTCCTCATATGTTGATGAAAGTCTGCACTCCTAAAACTGCACATATGAGGCACAGGCAGCTCAAACCTCAGCTACCCCCTGGGCCCCCCTGGCCTCTGTTAGCTCCCACTCCCCCACTCTCTCCCCTGACTCCCACATTACCAGATAAATCTCTCATGTTGTTCTGTGAGTGACGTTATCTGTGTCGAGCTGCAGATGCTCAAAGATCCATGAGGTTGTGATGTTCAGCTGTGGAAGAGCTTAGTTTTTCTTTTTACACCTCTGATTTAGAAGTTAACGTCTCTAAAGACACAAAACTGAACGACCACCCTAAATAAAGTTTTTTAATCAGCCTCAGTGTGTTATTATAAAGTGCAGTGTTTCCTTTTTTCCAGCTCTATCTGCAGTTTGTTTAACCCATTTAGCTTCATGTGAAATTCCCCGTCAGCTGCTGCTGAGTGTGCTGCAGTACCTGCACGCGGGCTTCAGTCAGGTCCGTCCTGAGCGCGAGCTGCTCTCGAGCATAAACATCAGGATAGTGTGTCTTCTGGAAAACCTTCTCTAGTTCTTCCAGTTGGTAGCTCGTGAAGGTCGTGCGGTTGCGCCTCTTTTTGCCTTTGTTGCTTTCGCCACCATCAGCTTTTTCCAGAGGGCTCGCTAAGTCAGTGCCTGGCGTCCTATCAGAGGCCGCCTTGACGCCCTGATCCTTCACAGCTAGGTATCTGGTGTCCATTCCAGGTGGCTCGGAGTCTGGGGCCAAGTCAGAATCTGCCAGACCAGAACTGTCTTTACCTAGTGAGTCAGGAAAAGGTTAAAAACTGTTAGGAGAGGTTTGTGTTTCTATAATTGTATCAGGACTGATATTTGTGAATGTCTGAAGTTCAGTTTTTTTTTTAAACCCCAAATGCATGTAAGGAAAAGTCATTACATAACACTGCCCAAAAAGGATGTAACTTGACGATTAGACACACAACGTTTTATTGGAGAGGATATATTAGTTTAATAAAATAAATGTGTTTTTAACGGTGTTTGTCCAAATGCTATTATTCAGAATTTAAGGAAGCAATTCACACTTCACTGATTCAAATCACATGTGGAGGAGTTTGAACAAGATGAAAGTTTTTATTGCCCCGGCCTTTCTTCTCTTCCTCTTATTGGCACAAAGATTTGAAATGGTTTCTGGTTTTGCAACATTTTTGCTCTTGAAAAATGGAGTTTTAAGACCGCGTATTTCACACGCCCATGGCTACTGAAAGATAAATGCTATTATTTATCAGCGTGGCCTTATTTGGCTTTCTCAAATCGCCCTGTTCCCCTTAGAGCCATGCTGATATTAAGCGTTTTCTGATCTGAGACCCTCTCAAAAAGTCAGATAGATATAATCTATTACAGCACTGGGCACTTGGGACAAACATTTTTCATTTTTTCAGCACCCTTTAAAAGTAAATAAATGAAAGAAATGACTGATCCTCTATCCTACTAAACGTCCCAGTCACATGGCTCCTGGCAGCGTGTTCAGAAATGATGATTTATGCCTTCGATCGCTGTGATATTTCATGGGGTTTGATCGGGTGGAACAAAGGGATTTCTCGCTCTTTGTGAGGAAATTCTGCGACTTGTGAAATCCGCTGGTGTGCAGAGCCGAGAGTGCGCGTCAGTGTGTTTGTCTGTCTGAGTGTGTAATGGCTGG